TGTGTTGAAAAGTTAAACACCTAAAGTCAAAAGTAAGAAAAAGATTGGGTTAATTCGATTTACAAGAACAATCATCCATGAGGCATGATTATGATTAAAGGAAAGAGAAATCAAGCTAGGAATAATATTCGAGATGACGACAATATTTGATAAATTGGTACATGATAAAGAAGAAAATAGATAATATATTAAGTTTAAAATATTTAGTTGGTCTGACATTTGTAAAACTCATTGTATACCCCCGCCCAACTATATCTTCCTTATTAGTGGTTTTCTCGCTCGGTGTCATCGTTCCGGTGATCATGTATTATTGGGTTTGGCATAAAATTAATGCGAATATGTAGAGTTTTCTATCATTGCATATAGTTTTGATCAAAATTGTTTGATTGGTTAAAAGGGAAATAGACATGTATATTATGTTTGGTAGATTTGATCAAAATTGTTTGATTGGTTAAAAGAGAAATAGACATGTATATTATGTTTGGTAAATATAATTGATCATTTAATATGACCTAATTACTAATTAGTTGTCTAACAATTAGTGTATTTGTTAAGACGGTGTTTCTTCTCCTCCATTAATTTTTTCACCATCATCTATCTCTTGATCAAGATCAACATAGTTAATTATGTTCAAAAGGTAAGTATGTTTCTCATAATAGTTGTAGAGATTTTTAATGTATATTTACCTTAACTGTCATATTTACCTTTAATGTATATTTACCTTAATTGTCAAATAGTATTTTTGTCATATTTTAATTCTTTTTTCTAGTTATCTAAATATATATTTTTTTATATGTTAATTTGCTAATTATAAATCCCAAAAGGAATATTGAGCTAATTAACAACATCTTTCTTAAGTAAAATGCTCTTTGAACAATATTTATGATTTTTGCATTATCTCTTCTCAATTAATATAAATATATTACTTTTCTTATGATGTACAACCCAAAACTCTCACTAATTTGTTGTTCTATGCATATCGTCGTAATGGTTTGGTCGTTTGGATCAAAGACGTGCAAAGAAGACCCTTTCAATTTTTATTGTCAATTTTTAACGAACATTAGTTTGGCTATATTTAAAACACAACCTTCTATTATATTATGAGTAAACGAATATATAAAAAAGAAAGATAAATTTCAAAAAATGCCACTTTTCAAGTGCCACTTTACAAAAATGCCACATTTTTAAAATCTTTACAA